ATCCTCCAAGAAACTGTTGGTTGATATTTTTAGTCGCCTCTCATCGGTAGTAGATTTGGCGTTGTGAATGAGGGGGAAGCAGTAGAGTTAGGGTCCGGCACGGCGTAAGGTTACAAGGCTGAATCGTCAGCCTCGTATACATTTCTTACAGTGTACCATAGTCGTAGACAGAATAAAACAACAACATTTTTATCCCAACGTACATTGTTATCTGATCAGATACCGAGGCACAGCCTATCCAATAGAAACAGAAGAGAACAGAGTTCAAAAACCTTTCACCATGCACACTCCCAATCTTATTCAACACAAATGTGGGGAAAACTTCGCTTCTAAAATATCTTTCAACATCTAGCTGCCTTTCTAGGGGTAGGGATGAGGAAGATAGAAATCAATCAACTAATTAATCACAGCTCACTTTTCAAGAATTTTCTAACTGTTGTAATGTACATAAAATGGTGTGATGTGATGGCATTTGGTTGGGGAAGGATATATTTGTATATAGTGTCATAGCTAGTAAGGCTGCATACACTCAATGATTTAAAATAAAAATAAAAAAACGTCATGAATAGACACGATTCATTGTTTGTACTTGTTGTATCAACCATGACTATGTCCCAGTAATAGGACAAACATCATTGACTAGTTACTTGAAACCTAGTCAAGATCCTAAACACACAACTAAGACTAGGAGAATTTCACTGAGGTAGTTATTATTCTGATGAATCTAGATCTGGAGGAACATAATCTAGTCGCTTGTCTCGAGGTATATGAACCGGAGCATATCATGTATTATAAACTATATAGAAATCTATTTCAATCATAATCATCATCTTAATTCATGTCACCATCGGTAGCTGCAAAGGACAGTTTAACCATTTCCTTATATCCACTGTCTTGCCTCCGCGCGAAATATGGTCTAAGGCGTACCACCACACCTTCTATCTTCGGCATGTTTTTATAGTGTCAGCTGCACTCTCGCAAGCGAAGTGTTGGTGCGTACAAAGCGCAATTTGTAAAACTCCTTGGTAGATTCCAATTTTAACGTCTGTCAAGATTATATCCTTTCATTGCATCATCTTGTCAACTTGTCCTGATCCCTCTCACGTCCATCCTAAAGAACTGTCTCCCAGATTTGTGCGCCACGCTTTGCTTCCTCCGCCGGGTATAAATATCAGCGTGGGCGTGTATTTGGCGGTCAACTGAGGCCAGAGAAGGTCGAGGAGAAGTATGATTATTGGAATGAGGATGTACCAGGTCGTAATTGCAGGATTGTAGAGACTTAGGTAGGCGTCAAACTCGTTGGGAGCGAAATAACGACGTGGAGGAGTAATTTGGATTTTTGCCTCGTCGGCCAACTTCTTTGATATTGCGAAATTTGACTGAACTTGGCTCTGGGAGAATGTTTCACTCCCAGTTTCGTAGAGGACACCGCGTACAGGTGTTCAGTCTTGCCCTCTCATGCAGTTCGTCCTTGGGGTGTAAATGTTTGAATTCGTCGAGTGGTGCGGTCATGAAATCTCTGCAGGTAGGACTTTCGATCAAAAACTTTCCAACTTCACTTCTCCCAGTGCCGGTAAAAACGAATTCTTTATCTCCAAGTGGTGCCGGTGTAATCGCTCGGTATACTCTGCATATATGGGATAGCCAAGAAGAATCGCATCCGAATTGAAGTCAAAGCAACCTCGAGCATATCTAAAATCGACGACTTATTGACAAATGTTTGACCTATCATTCTCACCTGAGCCCTCCCGCTCAATCTTATTTCACCATCTCGCCTAAAATACCGATAATAGCGTCACTCCAATTGCAATCGGGCATTTGTCTCATCAAAAAACGGCCATTTCCCACTACAAATTTACGATGCTATGTATACCCGCAAGGAGGAGATTAAGTTATAAACTACAAAGCTCGGGACTTGGTCCATGGGGCACTGTTGCTCTAATGGAGCTTCACATCTTGAGGGAGGACAGGCAGCTGGGACGTGGAACGAGCGAGGGAAGAGACTACAATTGGGTATGCTGGGACGCATATTTTTGGAGTGTTTTCGATTTAAAAGTGTCTGTGGGCACCGTGACTACGATTTCAGATAGTTTAACCGACACTCTAAAAATAATCAATGGTGGAAGGTGTTTTAGACCGCCTCCTGGTCGTCATCACCTCGAATTAAAGTCTCGGTAGTCTGGACATCTACCTCACTCGAGGAGGGCGAAGGCTGAACACCTGTCAGTGTTGCCCTCTTCAAACCTGGGAGTGAAACATTCTCCCAGAGCCAAGTTCAGTCAAATTTCGCAATATCAAAGAAGTTGGCCGACGAGGCAAAAATCCAAATTACTCCTCCACGTCGTTATTTCGCTCCCAACGAGTTTGACGCCTACCTAAGTCTCTACAATCCTGCAATTACGACCTGGTACATCCTCATTCCAATAATCATACTTCTCCTCGACCTTCTCTGGCCTCAGTTGACCGCCAAATACACGCCCACGCTGATATTTATACCCGGCGGAGGAAGCAAAGCGTGGCGCACAAATCTGGGAGACAGTTCTTTAGGATGGACGTGAGAGGGATCAGGACAAGTTGACAAGATGATGCAATGAAAGGATATAATCTTGACAGACGTTAAAATTGGAATCTACCAAGGAGTTTTACAAATTGCGCTTTGTACGCACCAACACTTCGCTTGCGAGAGTGCAGCTGACACTATAAAAACATGCCGAAGATAGAAGGTGTTGTGATCCGCCTCCTGGTGGTGTACTCCGGTATAATCTGAGTAGCCTGGGTACCTACTCCGCTTGGGAAGGAGACACCAAAGACCATATTTCGCGCGGAGAAAGTTGAAAGATGATGGAGGTATGTCTTGATAACTCAGGGCTTTTGAGACGTTCCGCTGGGTAGGTATCCACGGATGAGGGTTGAATTGGGCTGTAGAAAAAGCAACCATAACTTCGCAGTGGTACTTGCAAATGAAATCTGAGGCATGAGTGCTCTTCCTTTACGTTGAATCATCTATTCTATACTTTTCTTTGATATTGTGTCACAGCCAGATAGCTGCATATGCAATTAAAATCTGATGCAAAAAATAAAGAGGAACTGCAGAGAGAAGAAACGAGTGCAGGCAGCATTTTAAACATTGCTATGGTTGGATGGTGCGATGGTACATCAGCCTGGCCGGTCGTTCAAGTTGATTCCGGATAGCCTGGACATATATCCCACGTGAGACAGGAGATAACTGGTTTAAATCCGGTAAAACACAACTATATTTCTCGCAGTGCTGGTATGCATGGGAGACGAAGGCATGCTTATATAATCAAAGGTTTTGTATTTCCCTTTGATAGGTACTTACGAAGGAGGGTCGACTATTTGTGTAAGCAAGCATAACTCATAGTGGTATTTCCGAATGAAATCCAGAGTATGAGTGTCTCTATTGTCAAAAGAGTCATCCAACTTGTATACATAGCACCGGTCATGTGTCACAGCTAGATAGCTGAATACACATTAAATGATTTTTTTTTCAAAAAATACAGGATAAAATCTGTCCGTTGTTTGTGCCAAAGTACTGACAAGTTCACTTTTTCAAAATTCCCCCCCAAGATCTTTTCAGTACAAACTTATCCCGTGACCATTTCCACAATTACATTGCTACCCATAGAAGCACTTCAAGATCTAAAGGTCATCTTCGCTATCTAAGATTCAAGTGAAACTTCATACACTCGCAACTGTCGTGAGCTGTGAGGATATGGTAGAAGTACTAGCCTTGAACTCGTCTTTTCCTCAGCCAATGACACCAAAAACTCGACAACCGACGAACTTTGTGCGACATTTTGCCGGCTCATCGATAAAAGTATTCAAAGAAGACTTAGGCCCTAGTACCTGGCCCTTAAGCTCTTCAACTCATATTCTGCTCTTACGGTTAATGGTAAGGCAGGGACAGAGTAAGGTCGGAGAGGTGAAAGATCTACATGGTGTCTTAGATGGCAAAGCTGAAGTTGTGGTTACAGAAATCTATGCTAGGGGAAGGAAGACAAGTATGACAGTAAATACATTGGTGGGCCACCAGTTAAGACATCTAATGAAGAAAACGATCCCTGTGTGAGATGAAGAGATGCTGGGATCAAGTATGACTGGGATTAGACAGAAAGGACAGATTAAGGATTTGGTGGGTATAAAGGGCTCGGGCGCGTGGTGACCGAGTCTCGAATGGAAATTGCGCTTCAGCGCGTCAAAGGCGGGTTCTCTGGACAATTAGACTTGACGCGATGGACACATAGGCGAAGTCTGAGGTAAGATGATCGATTAGGTTGAATGAAATGTATTTGACTTATGCTGTTCTTGTATGGTAGTAAACCTGGCCTCGGTCGTGCTCACGCTCCTAAAAGAGCAATGCAGGTGCCAATTTCCTGGCATGTTAAGATACAAACCAAACTAAAACAAAGCTAGTGGAGCTTAAGCACGAGCGGGGCCGGGCCGGATCAGGTTAACAACCGTTGAAATACAATTCAGCCTCGTTCCACCTAGGTGACCAGAACCATACCAATCCCCTTTAATTTGTGGAATCATGACGAGTCGAGCAGATCAGAAACGGAGCATAACTTCCACGCGAGTCCCGTATTTCAAAAGAAAAAAGTACCTTCCAACTCTCAGGCCCAGCCACCACGCGCCGGGGCCCCATCTCATTTAAGTTCAGGTGGAGGACAGTAGGTCGGGCCCTTTGCAGTCTCTGGCTGCCGCAGGGCGCGCCAGATCGTCGGGTAGTTCTGTAGGGACAGGGCCATCGTTTTCTGCCATTTACATCAAATTAATAACCCCAGTCTAGACGCCGACATGCTCCGCTTTTCTGTGGAAGAAAAATAATTTAGTATTGCCAACCCAATTATGATAGAATTCAGCAATGTCAAAGAGCTGGCACGAGTAATGTTGATAAGGATCGGAATTCATTTAATCTCAATTTTTGAAACGTCCTTCCTCACCCCGTCTGCCAATCCTTTTCCGAAAATTTCATCAGTATGCTACACAGCTTGGGGGCCATATTAGTGTACGCATTGCCACTAGCCTCTTCCGCGAAGATAGCAAGAGCTCCAAGGCAATCTCTTCCATCATACAATTACAATGTCATAGAATCAAGTATCGATGCGCGCCAGATCCCGTCCATTGTAGTAAACACAGGCGGGTTGGGAGGGCAGGGACCCAATGGAACTGTACCGTTACGACTAGAGATTCGAGAACTGATGAAAAACTCCGACATGTGGACATTGTACATACTAGGGCTTGATAGAATGCAAAATGTGGATCAAAATGAACTTCTCTCCTGGTATCAGATCGGAGGTAAGTTGTACGACATGAAATGAGATTATAGCAGCTCAGAGTCTAGGAATTCACGGGAGTCCTCATACACCATATGATGGAGTACCGCCTAAACCTGGCAATGAAAATCATGGGTACTGTGTACACGTTTCACAGCTATTTCCTACTTGGCATCGCGCCTACCTTGCCTTATATGAGGTCAGTATTACGTACTAGCCGAGCATTAATTTCTGATATTCTACAGCAAGCTCTTTACGGCACAATTCAGACTATTGCAAAGGCATATCCAGAAGGGCCGATCCGAGAAAGATATGTAAATGCAGCATCTAACTTTCGCATACCTTATTGGGACTGGGCTTCCGCCCAATCGACTGGGAATCAAACACAACCCCAAGATTTTGGATTGATTCCCAATGTAAAGATTGATGGCCCAGCTGGCACTCAAATGATTGCAAATCCTCTGTACAGCTATAAATTTCATCCGCTAAACGCGTCAGACTTTGAAGACGACCCGGTAAGTCTTTTCCAGGTGTCCTACGGACCTTCAGTAAGTTAAACCTGTGCAGTTTAACAAGTATCCCGCTACAGTACGCTACCCAACCGGGGCAACTGCTTCTGCAAGCTCTCAAAACAACATCTTTGAACAAGTGTTCAATAGTACAAAAGATAATATCAGAAGTAGGGTTTATGCGCTTTTGACAAACTACCATGATTACTTGGGATTTAGCAATGATGGATACCGAAAAGAAGCGCCTCCAAATGAGCAAGATTCTCTCGAATCCATTCATAATCTAGTACACAATCTAATCGGCGGTAATGGACACATGACATATATTGACTATTCTGCCTTCGATCCATTTTTTTTCCTTCATCACACAGCGATAGACCGCATCTTTGCACTATGGCAGGTTCTCAATCCAGATTCCTATATTACTTCCTTACCAGCTGTTACCAACTCTTACACCATAGTCGCTGGCGAAATTCAAGATATCAATTCACCATTAACACCATTTTTTAAAGATACTTCTGGAAATTTCTGGACATCTGCTGGCCTCAGGGACACAAGGAGTATGGGATACAACTACCCGGAAACATGGAATCCCGACCCAGCAGTAAGAAGGAAAGATGTAATCACAGCAGTCAATACACTCTACGGCCCTGGTGTTAGCAGCCCTAAGATGAGTTTTGACGCTCTCAGTATTTCAGAATCTGGTAAGTATCGTGAATGGGTTGCAAACATACAGATGTACAAACACGGACTCAGTGCTCCTTACTCGGTGTTTATATTCTTGGGGCCCTCGAACCCTGACCCAAATGCTTGGTCTTCTGATCCCAATCTCGCAGGGTTACACACCACGTTCGTTCGTAGTGTTTCCCACACTAAAGACTTCGAACCCCAAAATTCACCAATTGTGACTGCCGCAATCCCACTCACGCAGGCTTTGTTCGATCACATCGGGCGGGGTGAACTAGATAGCTTGAGCGTCGAGGATGTGACGCCGTGGCTGGAAGAAAATTTACATTATCGCGTATCACTGCTAAATAGTACTGAAGTCAGCGGAGAAAGTGTACCTGGGCTTAAAGTTTTTATTGCTAGCGCAGATATGAAACTTCCAACCGAAGAAGATGAAATGCCCGTTTGGGGTGAGATGAAGGAACATATGCAGGTTATTGAAGCTTGTAGGACAGAAAAGTTATAAATATATTAGACCAAGCCTTTGCCAAGTGCAAAACCTACAAACCTTACCCATATGACTCTGAGGGCTAAATTGACCCTACAAGTGACGTGACATTTTACATTTTTGCCTGTGCAGACCTGCGAAAAGTAAACACAGACATTGTGGCCCTAATCTCATAGCCCAAGCCAGCTAAATCAAATTTGGATAGGCGAGCGAGGTTTGACTTGCTCGAAAGGATCTGGATCACTAAGTTGATTTGCTAAGGTCTGCAATAGAGGTCGCCTATGACCGACTAATTTGCGCTTTTTCTCTGACGTCATGGAGCTCGTGCCCTTTGAACATATCCGATTAGAAACCAAACAGCTGGACCCATGTTGGACACCCAACTTTAAGATCGAGACCAAGAAATAGTCACTACGGCGAATTAGATTGTATTCAACTTTATCATTAGGTTAAAACCTCACAGGAACACATAGTTCCTTTTGTGCCACTGCGAAAAGTAAGGCTATCCACCTATGGCTACTCCAGCGACAAACATCTCAGGAACGAGCCTCCTTGCCATGCTTACGAGATATTTCTAACCATCGACTCTGGTGGGCTTAAGAGATTGAACTCCAATTAGCTAACCAATGCGCTGTTCGATTATTCTCGATTATTGAACTCGTCTTCGCACTCACATTCTACGTCGACTAGTTTTTCACATATAGTTGTAAACTGAAAAAGGACAGAAATGGTTTAAAGTATTAATGATAAAAATGTTTCATCGATTAATGTCAAAGATGTGGCTAGAGCAATATTGGATAACTGGAGTAATCGAGGAGTAAACTAGGTGAAGAGGGGAATATGATAATACTAGACAAGGACAGAATCAAAACTGTAAACAAATGGGTGATGATATTCCCCAAACGTAAGACTATTATGGCAAAGAGTCCAGTTAAACAGCTAAAAGGGTTTTATTGTAAGGTTTGCTCCTACGCAAATTAACAAGTCGGAGGGCAAGACTGAACACCTGTACGCGGTGTCCTCTACGAAACTGGGAGTGAAACATTCTCCCAGAGCCAAGTTCAGTCAAATTTCGCAATATCAAAGAAGTTGGCCGACGAGGCAAAAATCCAAATTACTCCTCCACGTCGTTATTTCGCTCCCAACGAGTTTGACGCCTACCTAAGTCTCTACAATCCTGCAATTACGACCTGGTACATCCTCATTCCAATAATCATACTTCTCCTCGACCTTCTCTGGCCTCAGTTGACCGCCAAATACACGCCCACGCTGATATTTATACCCGGCGGAGGAAGCAAAGCGTGGCGCACAAATCTGGGAGACAGTTCTTTAGGATGGACGTGAGAGGGATCAGGACAAGTTGACAAGATGATGCAATGAAAGGATATAATCTTGACAGACGTTAAAATTGGAATCTACCAAGGAGTTTTACAAATTGCGCTTTGTACGCACCAACACTTCGCTTGCGAGAGTGCAGCTGACACTATAAAAACATGCCGAAGATAGAAGGTGTTGTGATCCGCCTCCTGGTGGTGTACTCCGGTATAATCTGAGTAGCCTGGGTACCTACTCCGCTTGGGAAGGAGACACCAAAGACCATATTTCGCGCGGAGAAAGTTGAAAGATGATGGAGGTATGTCTTGATAACTCAGGGCTTTTGAGACGTTCCGCTGGGTAGGTATCCACGGATGAGGGTTGAATTGGGCTGTAGAAAAAGCAACCATAACTTCGCAGTGGTACTTGCAAATGAAATCTGAGGCATGAGTGCTCTTCCTTTACGTTGAATCATCTATTCTGTACCTTTCTTTATATAGTGTCATAGCTAGATAGCTGCATACGCAATTAAAATCTGATGCAAAAAAAAAATTAACAAGTCTGATAGACACCTGCATGGGCCCATCAGGCACCAAATCAAAATAATACTTCTACTGGTGCCTCACAATGTCTGACAAAGATTCAGTCGAGGTCGACGACCGGTCGTTTTCAGAATGATCTAACGCCAATATGTTTTAGCGCCAAGTTGCTCAAACGTTTTCCTTGGTCGGGGTTACACGTTGTGTATCCTAGAGCAACTATTGGCCCTACAGCATTGTCTTTAGCTTCCGAAAGTTATCACGTGATTATATTCATTGCGAAAGAATATGTCTGGTTTTTGGGATAAGATACGGCAATTTGCCGGCATCAAATAGGTTCTCGGCACGCCTAAAGGCGCCCTCAATCCCGAGAATTGGATCGAGCTGAAGAGGCTCTAAAACCAAGTACAAGATGCTCACCATACATTTCACGATAAGGGAATGATTCTGTGCGGAGTTAACGTTAGATTGGTGAACTTTTATTTCTTTAGTACGATAATTTCTTGGAATGGGGGACTATTCTCAACACCATCAGTGGTGTCTCCTACGAACCTTGAGCTCTCACTGTAGAGTCTGCAGAGCCGAGATTGAGTAACACCTTATCAACTTTGAGCTGAGTTATCTCCCCTTCCGTAAAAGATACGCTTCCGATGACACATAAGACGACAAAGACGACAATAATGATGCTAAGAATGAGGAGAGATTATGCGGTACCAAACGCTACATCGGTAGTCAGAGAAGCCCTCGTTATATCACAACATGTGCTACCCACCGGCGGGCGAACAAAAAGCCCACGAAAGCAAAGTAAGAGACCCTTTCTCCCTCTAAGAAATCAGATTTCGACCTGTCTATGATATCGTCCCTACTAATCTTAGTTTCCGAATATACCAGCCAGGAGGGCATCTGGAATAAATGAGTTACCAGACGACCCTACGTCTGTAACGACTTTTGGGTGCTGGGCTAGGCTCTTTCGCGGCAGTCATTCTCAACCAAGACTTTTCTGACATCTTTTCACGATCTTCGGTTTGTCCTGCGGCATGAATCAGGGAAAGAGGTAGAAGGCTACAGTGCCTCTGGGTTGGAAAATGTAAAACTTCAAACTGGGCTGTTTAAGGGATTAGCCCTGTAGGCGCAGCTGGGCTAGCTCGTAACAGGTTAGTATGTCTATCTTCCTTACCCCGCTCGCCATGAAGTATGGTCCAATCATCTTCTTCTAACGATCGCTTAGAAAAACACATTTTCAACGACACCTTTGGCTGTCTGACCAGCGCAGTCCTCGAAACTCAACATCACTATCAATTCATCCTCAATTCTCACAAACAATGTCTCTCCAAAAGTCTGCTTCAGAAACTAAAGTTCGCAAGCATCTAACTCGCGATCAATGTATTGAAATAAGAGCAATAAGAAGACTTGGCTTGACATTAAAACGTATATCTGACGAACTTGGCATCACTAAAAGGTAAGTGCAACTCGCGTGTGCTCGAGAGACTGAGATTGCTACACCCCGCAAAGGAAGCTCACTTAAGTTAAGCGCGGAACAAGTTGATGAGCTCGAGGCTTTCCGGGAATCTACTGAAAATCCACAGATGTGTCATATGGAACTAGCAATGTGGCTCTTCAGCCACTGGTGATGCAGTGAATGTTTAATTTCTAATGCACTCAAAAAAAAAGGTTACAGCTGATGCATTGCTCGGAAGGAGCCTCCGTTAAGTGTGGTTAACATGCACGAAAGATGTGTAGCAGTGATAAAGGAAAACGAAGGATACACAAAGTATTAGCATGGAGCAGACTAATACAAAGCATGTAGAATGGTTTCAATTTAGTTGCAAGTCATACTGAGGGCTTCGATGTATTCTTTTGAAATACAGAGCAATTATTTTTGAAATAGATGTGCATTTTCAGAGAATATCAATTGAACTTTTTAATTTTGAATCTCAAATGAGGACCATTGTACTTTTCCCATCAAGTTCAAAACCACCCCCATAATTTAGACTTTCACGGAATGTCATTGGATAGTACCCCTGCTTGCATAACTAGTCGAGAAACTAGACATGGGCCTGCATGAAGATCATACCAATTAAGGCAATATGTACAGGGATCTAACCCCAGTCATTTTAACAATTTTACTTTTGCCATCCATAAGAGACTGTAGTTTCACACGCTTGGAATGAATGGAGCTGTGGTAAAGAACACAGGGATCCCTTCCGCCTCCACCGGTCCTGTGCCAATAGCAGACCTGGAGCAGTAGCTTAAGACCTTGAAATTACAACCCAAAAAAAAACTAACAACGAGTGTGAATTTTGTATTGTTTTTACTTATCGATGAATACTGAGCTGTGAAATGGCACGATGTTAAATTTTGTCAAACTCAATCACAGTTCAACTTACACTTTGGGACTAGATAGTATGTGCTGAACAGAGACAGGCAGCGACTCACCGCCTTCATGGTTGGGTCAACAGAGTGCAAGCTGATTCCAGGGCTAGATAAAAGACTTTGCAGGCCCACAGAGTCTACGATATTCTTCAATGCCCCAGTATGCACGAAACATTTGGACTGGGCTAGCTGTAACATTCAGTTCAAGGTGATCCCTGCATACAGTAGCTTTCGACTTTTTCCTTCAGCTAGACACCCGCGAATTGCCATCGCTATTTTGGCTGAGGAGGGTGTGGCATCTAGTTGGGCGGTTTATGGTCAAAATAATTTTACCCAGGTGTCTCGAAGCTTCGACCAATCTGCCATCAAAAGCAAGTAGAGCTGGAGACTAAAATACACGTGAATTATATCTCTCTAAACCACCAGAAGCCCAAACCATGTAAAGCTACCGACTCTTCTAGCGCAGCGCTTCAATGTTAACAAGGAAACAAGTCTTCCGCACTGGCTTACGGCAGAAGGTGAGCCAATCAATGGCGTACCACTTGCTGTGGTGAATTTCACCCAACTGAGACCCACAAGGGGATGGCAAACTGGAACAAGGCTCCTGTTACTGTTAACTCGAATGAGGATTTATGGGTGGAAACCGCTTGGGAGAAGCAGTGAAGAAGACACAGGAAGGAGTCCATCATCCTAACACTAGATACACAACTTCGCAGTGGTACTTGCAAATGAAATCTGAGGCATGAGTGCTCCTCCTTTACGTTGAGTCATGTTTTCTATACTTTTCTTTGG